GCCACGTGGCATGCCCGATATGCCACGCTGCAATCTCGACCCGCCACGTGTCATGGGCGACCTGCCACCTTGCAATCCCAATCTGCCACGTTGCAATCCCGATCATGCCATATTGTAATTCCGATCTGCCACGCGGCATGCCCGACCTGCCCCTTCGTAATCACGATCTGCCACGTGGCTCGTCGATCGTCGCATCCACGTCACGCTGCAGCCGTGAAAACAGATCCGTCCCGATCTGCCACGTGGCATGCCCAGACTGCCACGTTGGCATGCCCAACCTGTCACGTGGCTCCTCGATCGTCGCATTCACTTCACTCTACTAATAGACGCTACTCACATTCTCTTCACGCCGTGAAAAGAGATCCATACTCTTTCCTTCTTTTTTTTTTTCCCTTTTTTTTTTTTATCACGACCGACCTGCCACGTTGCAATCCCGAGCTGCCACGTGGCTCCTCGATCGTCGCATCCACTTCACACTACTACAATAATTAGACGCGACTACACGCCGTGAAAAGAGATCCGTCCCGATCTGCCACGTGGCATGCCCAGACTGCCACGTCATAATCTCGACCTGTCACGTGGCTCCTCGATCGTCGCATTCACGTCACTCTACTAATCATAGACGCCACTCGATTTCTCTTCACGCCGTGAAAACCTGCCACGTTGCAATCCCGAGCTGCCACGTGCACGTCACTCTACTAATTAGACGCGACTCGATTTCTCTTCGCGCCGTGAAAAAGATCCGTCCTCTTTTTTATTGCTTTTTTAATTCCCTTTTTAATTCCCTTTTTTTTATTCCTTTTTTTAATTCCTTCTTTTTACTCCTTTTTTTATTCCTTTTTTTAATTCCTTTTTTTATTCCTTTCTTTATCATTTTTTTCTTTTTTACACGACGCTTCGTGCTCAATTCGCTTCCCCCCTTTTTTTTTTTTTTTTTTTTTTTTTTTTTTTTTCAAATTCCATATTTTAATTCCAATTTCACGAATCAAGGCCGGCGATCTCACAATTCCACCCGGTGTTATCCCGCCAGCATCAGCCGGTTTGGGTTACTGAAGCATGTGAACCAAATCAATCATCTGACAACAAAGAACCAATCAAATTACCTCCCAGACCAACCTACCAACCTACTAGGATATACTCTCCTACTGGC